CAGGCAGAAGATCTCGCAGTGGGAGGGCAGGGCCAGGGGCTGCCCCAGCAAGGACAGGCAGCAGCTCAAGGACTTTGGGGTAAAATACGACCCCAGCTGCAATAATGCACTGCCCAAAGTGAATAATGCACTGCCCAAAGTGAATAATGCACTGCCCAAAGCGAAGGCAGAGTGCACTGAGAACGGCACAAGGGCTGGGGGTAAAGATCCCAAGAGCTTGGGGTTGGATTTTAGGGAAGATGCGCGGAGATGCTGGCAAACCAGAGGCTGTGGTGGCCCGGCTTCCCCAGCCAAGGAGAAAGGAGAGGCACAAACAGGCTGCCTGACCCCAGGGGTGGCACTGCCCCCAGGGAACTTCTATACCTCACAAGCTCTGTGGAGGAGAGCAGATCCCGCCCTGCCTGGCAGAACCTCTCCTGGTGCCTCGGACCTCCAGAGGAAGCGAGGCAGCGCTGGCTCCCCGGAAAGAGAACTGCAAATCAAAGGAGTGGACGCTCTCTGCAGGGCAGAGAGGAGCTTGAGGAACATTTACTCTGAGGTTGAGGGGCAGGAGGAGGAGGCAGCTCCTGATCCACCCCCCAAACCCCGCAGGACTTTCCGCTACCTGGCAGAGAAGGGTGCTGGGGGTCGTAGAGCTGCCAGTGCCACCAGGGAAGGTCCCCTGCAAAAACACTGTGGAAGGGACTTGGTGTCATCCTGCAACAACCCTGAGAAGAAAATAGCCAGCAGGAGGATCAGAGGGAGAGCCCAGAGGTACATAATTCATCTCTCATGTCTGAAATATTTATTGAAATTATTTTCTGGGTGGGTTTAAGCAGCTTGCTTGGCATGATGTCCTCGTGGAGTGCTACTAGTGGTGATGCCTCTTTTCATGGGGAAGGGATGTTCCTGGGTGAGAGTATCCAGCTTTTGCTGCTGACAGTCTTGCAAAGAGGGCTCCAGGTTCCAAACAGAAGTCAGCCCACACCTTAGAACAGAGTGGAGTGACCCCAGGGAGAGACCTGCCCGCTCCCTGCCTGCTGCTTGCCCTCAGCTGCAGTTTGGGGATGGCAGAGTAGCTTTCCCTTGGCTGCTGAGTGTTTGGCTTTTCTGGGAGTGAAAGTTTCTCTTATTGCTTAAGGCTGGAGCCTGTGGGTACTGCTCTTGCAGTAGGTTTGGCTGGTTTTCCCTTTTTCCCATACCCTTCTGAGGTGGCTTGATGCAAATCCTGCTCACAGGTGAGCTGTCTGTGCTGGACTGGTGTGCAGAGATGTTCTGAAACCTTCCACTGTGGCAAAATGTGCAGCAGCAACCCAGATTTGATGGACTAAATCCCTGCCAGCTCCTCTGTGACCTCAGTGCCCTAATTTCAAAATAGTGGCCAAGTGGATGGAAATGCCAGCCCACAAATGCATGAACGCCTTGAGCACGAGTAGGAGAGGCCAGGAGGAAGCAGTGCTCTGGTTCTGAGCTGCTGCAAGAATTCAAACATGGTTTGGGTTCTTGCCTCTGACAGGATGGGGCTGGCCCTGCCTGCTTGGAGTGTGCTTGGCCATGGAGCCTCCAGCTCCTTTTCTTACTTAATGAATCTCCCAGAGTAAGTGAGCAGGATTTGCTGTGCTGGCTTTGACTGGGATGATTTTCTTCTTGGCATCTTGTGTGCTGCTGTGTTTGGGGTTTGTGATGAAAGTATTGGTAACACAGCAGTGCTCACACAGAGCTGGGAGGGGACACAGCAGGGACAGCTGACCCCAAGGATGTTCCAGACCCTGTGATGTTCTGCTCAGCTGTAAAAACTGGGGAAGAAGCAGAAAGGGGGAAAATTTGGAATTTGTATTCCCAAGTCACTGTTATGCATGATGGAACCCCTGAACATGGCCAAACACCGAGGGAAATAGGGAATGAATCCCTTGTTTTGCTTTCCTTGCTTGTGCAGCTTTTGCTTTACCCTCCAAACCGTCTTTATCTCAACCCATTTTCTCTCTTTACCCTCTGATTCTCTCCCCCATCCCACGGGCTGGGAGTGAGGGGCTGAGCTGCTGCCTTGGAAATGTGGCCCAGAGTGGAGCATCCATGTGCTGGATGGTCCCAGGGAGGGCCACACTGTGTTTGACTGCAGAGAGCAGCTCCTTTAGAAGCAATCCCCCTGCTTTTCCTCTAGGAAATCTTTTGAGTTTGAGGACATCCAGGGCTTCCGCAGGCGGCCGGTGGGCGGCGGCTGCCACAGACCCCGGGAGGAGAGCAATGGCTCTGCAGGATCCAGGCTGCTCTGCACTCAGTCTCAGGACAACATCTACGAGGACATTATCTGTATGTGCCTGGGCTTCTGGGGGTGCCCTCACCATGGTTAAGGGTGGAAATTGTGCTGGGGAGGGAGGGGATGAAGGTGAGGATGGATTGAGCCCTTTCCGGCTCTGGGGTTTTTAAGGTTTTCCCCATCTGGGGTTCTTTGTTGGTGTTGGTGCCATCTGCACGTGAACAGCCTGATTTCAGATGTCATTGGAGGTCACTGGAGTTGGCCTGTGCTAAAGTGATTTCTTTATTAGCCCTTGGAATGCTTTGCTTGAGTGTTGCACAGAGATCAGTGTGAGCACTGCCAAAATGAGCTGCTGTGCAATAGAGCTGCTTGCTGTGCAGGGGAAGAAGTGTTTTGTTCTGCTGAGTCCATGTGCAGTTTGCCAAGGTGATGGCAGTGGGTTAGAAGGATCCAACTTTAAACAGGTCTCTCAGACCCTGTTATTGGCACACTCTCCCCACTTATATCCCTGGCTGAAATTACAGGGTTTTATCCCCTTTCATAAACCCCCCATCCAATGCTTTTTTCCAGGTCCCACAAAAGAACATCCCTATGAAGATATCAGAGCACTGCCCTTGCCCCTGTGGAAGGTCCCATCTGTGTGGAAGCTGCCCCCTCCCCGGAGCATCAGCAGAGCTCCCAAGGTGGGCTGGGGGGATTAAAGGGTCAGGGGTTTGCAGAACCATTCCCACAAGAGCCCTCATTTGTGCTCAGCCTCACACTCCACTCTGCAAGTCATTGGTTTGCCTTATTATTTTATTGCTTGTTATTAATGTGAATAATACATGATGTAAATAATGAACAGCCATGGCAGCTGATGAAGCTGCTAAGGAGCAACAGAGTGGGAACAAGAGAGATTTGGTGAGAGGCTTGAGTGGGGAGGTGGGATGGAGACTTGGTAGAGCAGATTTACCAGCTGTAGTGTGACTCCTCTGCCTGGGACCCTGGACCAAAGCTGGATCTCATGCTTAACTCTCTCTTCTGCTTCTGTTTTCCAGCCTCCCCCCAAACCTCCCTTCCTCAGCCGTAAGTCACTGGAGCTGAAGCCCTCCCAGACAAATTTCCAAGGGAAGGTGGGGAAGGAAACCTCCCTGCCTGTCACTCTGTCTGAGTGGAAGCTGTTCCGAGCAGTGGAGGCTGCCAGCAGGAGAAAGAACCTGCCCTGGGTGAGATTCAAATGTAAAACTTCACTTCTTGCCTGGCATTTCAAGCTCTTGCTGCTTTGTGAGAGGCCACAGGGCTGTGGGCCAGGCAGGTGATTGCTGCTTGGCACTGCTGCCCCAGCCATTCCCTCTCCAAGGGGCAGGGCTGATGTCTGGGGGTCTGAGTGCCAGTTCTGGCTGGGACAGTGCTGGTTTTGTTGGTCAGGAATCACAGTGGTGTTTTTGTGGGCAGACAGAGTGCTCAGTGTTGGCCTGGAGGTGTGTGAGCACAAGCCCTTCCTGGTGCTTTGTCACCCAAGCCTCGTTCCCAGTGTTTCCATGGAGTGTTGGTGCTGGGTTTGTGCTCTGGGAGAGCTCCAGGAGCAGCTCTGTGTGCACATGTCCCTGCTCCCAGTGCCTTCCCAGGCTGGTCCTGGTGCTCACTGCAGTTCCTGAGTGTGGGATAGCTGTCGGAATGTTGGCCAGGAGTTCTGGACTGGCACCAGGAGCAGCTGTTTCACAGTTTGAGGGTGCAGAGGAGCTCTCAGGGATAAGAGCTTTTCACAAAGCCTTCATCCAGCTGTCCCTTCTGGCCTCTCCCTCCTGCCTGGCTGCAAAGACAATTATGCTGCTGGGGCCAGAGGGGTGAGGAAGGCTTTTAATCCACCTTCACACAGAGAACTGTTCAGTTTGCTGCCTTGGGAAGGCTTCTAGATCCTTCTGTTGGTTACCAGCTCACATCCCTCTGTGACAAAAGGCACCACATGCTGTAGAAGGGCAGCTGTGGTGGCACTTTGTGCACGGGACTCAGATTGTGGTAGTGAGAAAGATTTATTTTTGCTGTGGTAAAATCATTTCACTGCAGCAGATCTTTATTTCATCTGAAAATCACGTGTGTTTGCTCAGATTGCACAAGGCTGTGAGGGAGAGTTGGACAGCTGCAAAGGACTTTTCAAACCTTTAAAGTGCTTTGGAGTATCAAGTAACTTCTGTCTGTGTTTTTAAACAAATTCTGGGTCTGGAAAATCAGGAAGGAGATGGCAAGATTATAAAAATGCTGTGATGGAGAGTATATCTCATTTGGAGAGGGGAAAATAAAATGTTCTCCAAAAGCAAACCTATTCCAAAAATCTGGTAACAATTTACATGCAGGAAGAGCACTTTACTCTCTTTGCTCATGAGGAATTGAGCCAAGATTGTTTCAAAGGTTGAGAAAAGGACTGGGGTCTAAAAAGACAAAACCTTTTGCCTAAGAAACACATGGCTGCCTTAAACACACCCAGGGTGGTGACTCAGCTGCACAAAAATCAGGACAGAAATGAAGATTTCCTAGGTAAGGCTGGGTAAAAAGGCAAAGAAGGCAAGTTTGGCAGGAGGAGCACTGCTCTCAGTGCCTCAGTGCTGAGGCAGAAAATGGAGAGAAATCCATTGAAAAAGCAGAACCTAAGCCTGGATTGCTGATCTGGGGATTAAACACTTAAGCTGAACAAACAGGTTCTGTTTAATATATTTCTTTTTATGCTGTATTTGTGATGACAAATGGCTGGGCCCCACCCTCCTGTGTTCAGTTTAATGAATTCTTGAGGCAGGAATGAACTTGACCTGCTCCCTGCATTTAGGGTAAATCCCTCCTGCCATGAAGAGCCTTTGATGTGGGGAGTCAGGAGCCCCTGGGGCACTGGCAGGTGAGGGAAAAGCAGAAAGCAGGGACACAGAAAGTGTCAGGACTTTGGCTTAAGGCTGTTGTGACCAGTGGAAGGAGGATTACCAATCAAAGTGCTGACCCTTCTTTCATGTCTGTGCTTAGTCTGCACTGGGCTGGGCTTTTACCCAGCTTTTTTCTTCCACTGGGCCAGCTGTGTGGTCCTGCAGCATTGTTCTGTCCCAGTGTCTGGCTTCATTTGTGCAAAATCCCAGAATGGTTTGGGTGGAAAGGCCCTTAAATGGCTCCTGCCATGGCCATGGACACCTTCCAGCAGAGCAGGGTGCTCTGAGTCCATCACCCTCTCATTCCAGCAAACTCCTGGGGCAGGGCCTGTGCTTTAAGCTCCTTTGTGCTTCAGGAGAGCTGACACCAACCACAGCACCAAACCCAAAACCCAACCCCCAAGCTAGAGTGAGAGAGCTCTGCTTTTTCTGGGCTTGGATTGAGTTGGGGAGCATTTTCTGAGTCCTCTGTGCTGCAGGGCTTGAGAAGTTCTTGCAAGTACATAGAAAATGGAGATCTGATGCCTGACAGTTTGTCACTTCTATTTGGGAAGGCAAGTGTGACATTTTCCAGAGTGCCTGTACAGTCTGGTGTCAGCTTTGAGCTGTGCTGACAGGGATCTCTCTGCTGCAGCAGAAATCTGTGCTCATTCTTTATGCAGTGAGCTGGGCTAGAAGGAACCTCTGAGCCAGGGTTCCTGCAGGGTTTGGGCAACTCCCCCAGGTTTGGTGGTGGCTGTTGGGAACCTGGAGCCTTCTCTGGACCCCCACATTAACCTCTGCTTCTGCTTTGGGTTTCAGCTGGTACTGAAAATACAGGAGATCTTTGATTCCAAGCGTGGAAAGAGGAAGGTGAAGCTGCTCAGTCCTGCTGGGAGAGAAGCAGCTCCAGTGAAAGGTACTGGGGTCTGCAGTGTCACTGTCTGTGCTCTGAACTCCTTGAGTGGCTCAATTCCTCTGCCCTGGCCTGGCACCAGCACCTCATGCTGACTCAGCAGTGCAAACCCCACACTTGTGGCTGGAATTGAGCTTTCAGCTCAAGAAACACCTGCCTAACCCAAATTTACACTGCCACAAGGGGAGGATTCTGAGCCTGGGTTAAAATGCTTTTTCAATAAAGCAGATTAAAGCAAAAATTCCTCAGAAAACCACTTGTTATGAGAGCTACCAGTGACCCTTGCACTCATTATCTGTGTGCCTTGTTCTGACTGTGTAGGGTCTTTATTTATATTTATATTAGGGTCTTTATTTATAGTTATAGGGGTTTTATTATAGTTATTCTGTTCAGCAGCTCTGTTAAATTTTATAGCAGCTCAGCCAACCTGGTTTGTGTTCTGTGCCCATGTTCAGCTGACCTGCAGGTCACTCACTGTCACCACTGCCTTGATATCAGCTCTGCTTTGATATCAGCTCTGCTTTTTGCAATGTGCTGTTGTCACACATTTCCCAGCTGCCCTTGGCTGATGCTTTGGGCAGGATTGGTGGGCAGCCCTGAGGGATGTTGATGTGATGAGTCTCAGGTTGTGTCTCTTTCCCAACTTTGGGTGTTGCCCATCTTCCTTCTGCATGGTTAATAAGTGAAAACTGTGTGTGTTTCAGGTGAAACCAGCGGCAACGAAAGCGATACGGAAAATCAGCCCAGAAGTGAGTGAATCACAGGGCTGGTCCTGTCCCACAGCACTGCACCCTTGGCTGAGGCCCTGCTGGGATGAGCTGATGTGTGGAATCTGCTGAGACAGGGCCAGGGAGCCTCTCAGAGGCCACATGGCCAAGTCTGGCAGCTGCTGCTGTGACAAACCAACCTCTGTTTCTGCCCTTTCTCCTGAGCCCTTGAGGTTTAATGCCATTAATCTGGCAGTCAGCAGAAGCAGAGTCATTTTTGGGTTGTTCTTGATCACCTTTGCTGCTGCTGCTTGAGGTTATTTCCCTCCTGATTCCTTCCCTTGGTTCTGTTTTATGTAATGCTGTGAAATGTCCTTTCCTCTGGGGTGAGTTCATCTGGGTATTTGTCCTGAGCTGGATCATAGACCCAAACTCCAGACCTGAAACACCTACTTGGTTTTAGGTGCTTTTAGCTTCCATGTGAAGGAAGATTAAACAGAAAGATCTGGCACAGGGTGCCCAGAGCAGCTGTGGATGCCCCTGGATCCCTGGAATGTCCATGGCCAGGCTGGATGGGGCTTGGAGCAACCTGGGACAGTGGAAGGTGTCCCTGCCATGGCAAAGGAGTGGCACTGGATGAGCTTTGAGGTCCCTTCAACCCAAACCATTCAAGGATTCATAGAATTCTAGATAGAATTCATTGATAGAATTCTATGATTATATTCTATGATTTTATTTTAGGTATTTCATTTACGTGGAGGGAAACATTCTAAAGGCTTTAACTTAGAATGAAAAGTGAAATTCCATTTCTTTACGTTAAGGAGAGCAGTGGAGAGTGAAGGATCTCAGCAGAAATATTGAGATTTCTTCAGAAAGATTGAGTCACTGCCTGATGGAAGGGTTGTTTGAGAGTGTCTAGAATGTGTCACAGGAATTCCTGATGTCAGAGGGCTGTGCCTGTGCTTGTGAGCCTGTGCTGCCTGTCAGGACAGCCCAGCCTGGGGGTGCCTCTGCCTCTCCTGAGTGCCCCCGGTGTTTGGAGTGGCTCCCTGAGTCCTGGCAGCTCCTGACCTGGATGGAGCAGCTGCCCTTCACCCCCTGGTACCCCTTTGTGCCACTCTGAGATGTGGAAGAAAGAACATCAGGGCAGCAGGAGAAATTTCAGTATCTGTCAGGGGGGATTTGCAGAGCTGCAGATTTGCAGGATTCTGGGTTTGCAGGCCAGTGCTTCCTGTCTGAATCACAGAATCCTGGAAGTGTTAAGGTTGGGAAAGACCTCTGAGGTCATCAAGTGCAGTCATCAACCCAGCAGCAGCACCGTGCTCACCACTAAACCACATCCTCAAGTGCCACATTGTGACTGTTTGCTGAGGTCTGAGGATGAGAAGAGATGAGGATCTGACTCCATGTTTCAGCAGGCTGATTTATTATTTTATGACATATATTATATTAAAACTATACTAAAAGAATAGAAGAAAGGATATTATCAGAAGGCTGGCTAAGAATAGAAAAAGAAGAAATGATAACAAAGGCTTGTGGCTCGGACAGAGTCTGAGCCAGCTGACTGTGATTGATCATTAATTAGAAATAATTGTATGAGACCAATCACAGATTCACTTGTTGCATTTTACAGCAGCAGATAATCATTGTTTACATTTTGGTTTTGAGGTCTCTTAGCTTCTTAGGAGAAAAAATCTTAAGGAAAGGATTTTTCAGAAAACACATCTGACACCACATCCACACATTTTTTAAACACCTCCAGGGATGGTGACTCCACCACTGCCCTGGGCAGCTTGCCTCAATGACAACAACCATCCCAGTGAGGAAATTGTCCCTAATATCCAATCTAAACCTCCTCCAGTGGAATCTGAGGTTATTTCCTTCCTGCCTGGGGGAAGACCAGCTCTGTGCACGAGGAGCTGACACAGGTTTTATACCCCACAGGGACCATTAGGATGTTGGGCAAATCCACCCATCTCTTTTCCCCATCTGATGGCACTGCTCAGTCATTTCCTGTGCCCTGTAGGTGTGTGGCAGTGCCAGCCACAAGCTGCTTTGGGGTTTTTTGCTCTCCCCAGGTCGCCCCAGGTGCCTGAGGCGCTCTCCCTCCAAGAGGAACCCTCACTACCAGACCTTGGAGAGGGATCTCATCGAGCTCCAGGAGCAGAGGCTCTTCGAGCTCTTTGTGGTGGTGTCCCTGCACAAGAACCCATCTGAGGTCACCTACACACCACACATCATCCAGCAGTTCCCCAGCAAGGTAGGAGCTCTGTGGGAATCTGCCCAGGGAGCTGCTGAGCTCTGTTTGCCCTCCTGAGCTGCGCTGGTCAGGGTCTGGGTTTGCTGTGTTACATACCTGATGTGTGGTGTCAGGAGGTTGTTGAATATGTGTCTTCATAATGAGATTATTGTCTTTTTTGAACTGCTTTTGTCCTATTTAATTCAAATTTCATGATGCCATGATGGGGTGTTTGATACCAGCTGAAGGAGAGGAAGGAGTGCAGAGCTCTGTCCTCATCCTGGCAGTCTGTCCTTTACAAACAAGGAGTGAGGCACTGATGCTGCACAGGAACTGGAATCCCAGGGTTTTTATGCTTATTTGTACTGTTTTGAAAAAGAATGATAAAAAATGGCAAAGCTGTTTGTAGAAACCCCCAAAACCAGGAGAGCTGTGGGAGTTGAAGCTAAACCAAGCCCTTTGAAATAAGCTGTTCAGCACAAAACCAGTGTGTGACTGAATTATAACTCAGTGAAGTAAGTTGAGAAGCTGAGATGGAGCCTTGGTGTTTCTGTGGTACCAGATTGAGATGAATATTCAGTTCTCAGTGTCTGGGCTCATACCTGCTGCCTTCCACCGAAAATAACAGAGCCAGCAATTCTGGCTGTGCCTTCAGAAAGCCAGGAGTGACTGAGGAATCTGCATGGCACCCACACACAGGAGATGTCAGATCCACTCAGGGAGGTTGTGTGGGACCCCAGCAGGTCCCACAGTGTCCCAGTTCCTGCTGCCTAAAGGATTTGTGTGCAAATAACTCCAGTGCCTGAGTGTGGGAATGCCTTGGGTTCACAAGATGAATAAGGAACTCTACATCCAGAAAGAGTGCACAGTGTTAATTGAGTGGGTAAAACTGAACACACCCAAATAATATCTGCTAAAAATGCAAACTTTGGGGTGTTGGGAGGAAGAAAGGAGTGCAGCAGATTTGGTGCAACCTCTCAGTTTGTCCATTGCCTTTGGGTTCCCCTCCTGCTCTCTACTGGCTTTTGTAAAAGCACTGACACAAAAAATTATTTTCTCAGATTTATTTATCTTCTGCTCAAGGGAAAGTGTTTTGGTGAGTGGCTTAGATGGGACAGTGGGTCAGGTTGGGTGTCTCCATTCTAATATTAGCTTTGCTTCCAAGTAATTGCTGTCACCCTCTGCTTTGGGCTGTGTGCCCAAGGACATCTAAGCTTTGGTACAACTGTTACTCTGTCAAAATGCTGTTCTGTTTTCCTAACACTTTGTGCTGTCACAGCTGGGACACTGGAATAGCCTGGATGTGCTGAGTGCCTAAAATCAGCTTCATGCAATAAACCTTCCACTTCCCAGGGGCATTTCCTACTTAAATGTGTAAAATTTCCTTCCCTTTCTTATGGAGCCTCTTATCTGAACACCTTTCTTTTGCCTTATTTTGATCATGGAAAGTGTCCTGGAGTCCTTGGGGGATTTGATTTGAACCCACATGTGGTGTGGCTGGAACGTGTGATTCAGGGACAGTTTTTGCATTTCAGTTATGAGTGATCTGCTCATCAAAAGCTGAAGACATTCCTGTTCCTGTTTGAGTGTTTTCAAATCTCCCAGGGGTAGAACCAAGGCAGGCTGACCCAGCCATCATTTGGGGGCTCATTTCTACATTATTTTTCCAATTAACTTAGCCATGCTTGTAGTTCCTTACTCCATCCTTACCAAGCTGGGCCATTTCACAAAGGTCCAATCAGCAGGAAAAATGCAAGAGGGAACTGGGAATCTGCTAATAGTCAGAACATGTTTTCCTGTACCTATGCATTAGTTATGGGTTGGATCAGCCTTTGGAAGTGTCAGGAAAGTATTTTAAATGCTGCAGCTGTGCACCAACTTGAGTGACTTCAAATGCATCTGTTACCCCTCCAGCCTGAACATCCCTTCAGACCATCAAAGGACACTGAAGAGAGGCTAAAGGTCATTCCCAAATTCTGCTTTCCAGATCCCAAAGACTGGTTCCCTTCATCAGACCTTAAAAGGTAAAGATTTGGTTTTGAATACTTGTGACTGAGAGAGGCAATGCTGAAAGCTTTGGGCTGTGCCAGAGGAGCTGCAGCCAGAGCAGGGAAAAAGGGGAAAGGATCCAGGAAATCCCTGTGGTAGGAGGGAGGATGAGGTGTGGAGCTGGGCTAGAGAGCAGCTGCTGCCTTTCCTGTAAGGAGGAAAAATCTGTCCAAGGCCAGCTGCTGGGGCTGGAAGTGCTTGTGCTGCTCCTTGGCTGAATGGGGAAGCAGCTGGGAAGGAGGAGAGCTGGAAAAGCTCAGTGAGAGGAGCTGGGAAGGAGGAGAGCTGGAAAAGTTCAGTGAGAGAGCTGGAGAGGAGGAAAGCTAGAAAAGCAGCTGGGAAAACGGAGAGATGGAAAAGCTCAGTGAGAGGAGCTGGGAAGGAGGAGAGCTGGAAAAGCTCAGTGAGAGGAGCTGGGAAGGAGGAGAGCTGGAAAAGCTCAGTGAGAGAGCTGGAGAGGAGGAAAGCTAGAAAAGCTCAGTGAGGAGCAGCTGGGAAGGATGAAAGGTAGAAAAGCTCAGTGAGAAGCAGCTGGGAAAACGGAGAGATGGAAAAGCTCAGTGAGAGGAGCTGGGAAGGAGGAGAGCTGGAAAAGCTCATGGGGTGCAAGTTTTTACCCTGAACAGATCTCAAAGTCCTTGTAATCATGCCTTAGCTGTTGTCAGCATGACCAGAAGGAGTGTGTGTGCTTTGTCAGTCTGTTCCCTGAGCTGTGTGGTGAATTTAACCCTGACTCTGCCTTGTTCCCCAGTGAAACCTTTTCCTTCGTGCTGACAGGGGAGGACGGCAGCCGCTGGTTCGGGTACTGCAGGAAGCTCCTGGTGAGCATCTCTGGGAGGGCTGGGGGTACAGGGAGCACTGTCAGGACATGACTCAGGGCTGCTTTCCCACGTGGGTTGCCCATCCTGTGCTGCTGTGGTGGTGCCAGCCCTTGGGATGCAGAGGGAAGAGTCACGATGGTGCCCAGAAATAGCGAAATGGCCTCTGGGATGAACCAGCTCCTGGAACTGGGTGTTCCTTGAGAACCTTCATAGTCATAAGTGTAGGGGGGGCTGCAGCAGAAGGAGATCTGCAGATCAGCTGCAGTGTGGGTGCTGGGCTGTTCCTTGCCCCCCTGTTCTCAGCAGAGCTGTTGCTGTTGCCTTTCAGCCAGAAGGGAAAGGGAAGCGCCTGCCCGAGGTGTACTGCATCGTGAGCCGCCTGGGCTGCTTCAACCTCTTCTCCAAGGTGAGCTGGCACAGCCTGTTCCTGAGCCCCGACAGCCTGCAGGCTCCCCAGAGTGACTGGGTGCTTCTGTCAGGCTTAGTGATTGCAGCTGATCCCAGGAGAGTGGTGCTTCCTCCCTGGCTTTGCTTTGAGCAGGGAAATAAAATCCCGGTGCTGAGCCTTGTCAGTCAATGCACAAATCCTTCAGAAGTTACTGCAGGAAGCGCCTTCTAATACCTGGTGTTACTGAGGGTGCCCCTTCATCCTCTTCTTCTGTGACTTGGAAGTGGAAAATCAGTTTGGGATGGGGTTGGATCTCCCCTGGCTTTTTATAGCACCATGAGGAGGGGAGATAAGGAGGTGAGGACTGCAGATAAAGGGCAGTTATTGCAGCAGAGTCCAGAGACAGGCTTTGATGAAAGATGGTTCTGATTGTTGAAGCACAGAGTTTCTAGAACAGCATTTCAGGAAGGTTTCTGAGAGGGATGGATGTTGCTCCTCCTAACCCCTCTAAATAATGAGAATTTGATTACTACACACAAGACATTTCCTTCCAGTAGCAGGAGATTGGAGAGTGGGGCTCACAGGAAGCTGTTCCTGTTTGACTGTTCAGACATTTGAGATGAATTTCACAGGGGTCCCAGGCGAGGTGGGAGAGGGCAGTGGGTCTGTGCTGGAACCTTCTCCATGGGAATGCTCTGATGGATTCTCCCCTCTGCTCAGCAGCTTTTGTATTTGCTGGGAATGCCCTGACAAAGGCAGGAATGATGAATCTGACTCCATGTTCTCAGAATGCTGATTTATTACTTTATAATACTATATTATATTAAAGAATACCATACTATACTAAAGAATATAGAAAGGATGCTTACTCAATGCTGAAAAGATAATAATGAAAACTCCTGACTCTTTCCAGAGTCTCAACACAGCTTGGAAATATTATTTCTTTTTGGGAAGGGAAAAAAAATCTTGGATTTCAGTGGGGATCAATTGGAGGAGCTTTGATCCATGTCCCTGCACTTGATGGCATCCCATGCCTTTTGATGGCTTTCCCCTTGGCAAAGATTTTTTATTTTTTTTAAGTATCCATGCCATGTCCCTCTATCTTCCTCTCAAAGTTGTGTCTTTCTCCTTGATTTTCCCTCTGCTTTTGCAACATCTGTGAGGTTAGTTTTGGCATGGTTTGTCCTTTGCACTGCATCTCATGTAATCCTGGTCCACTTTCTTGTAGTAACAAAATCTCCTGATTTTCTGGAGATTTTCTGTCCTGATTGGCCAAAGAGTCAAAACAGCTCACACCAGAATCCAAGTGAAACAATCACCTGTGGGTAAACAATGTCCAAACACATTCCAGACAAGCAAAACACAGGAGAAGCAAATGAGATAAGAATTGTTTTTATTTTCTCTGAGGTTTCTCAGCTTCCCAAGAGAAAAATCCTGGGCAAAAGCATTTTTACAGAGAATGTGAATGCTACAGGTTGGATATTAGGAAAAAGTTTTTTACTGAAATAGTGATAAAGTTCTGGAATGGCCCTGCTGCCCCTGGCTCTGTGTCCAGTCCATGTGAGGAGGAGGGGCAGCACTGACAGAACCAGAGGACACAGTCTCAAGCTGCACCAAGGGAAATTTAGGTTGGTGTTAGATTTGTGGGGTGTCCCATGGCAGGGAGGAATGATGGATCATCTGACTC